GCCAAGCTGTTTGGGGAGGCACAGCCTTCCCTACCCGGCCCTCCATAGTTTTGCAACCCCGATGTGGCCCTCGGGCTGAAAAGTTTGCCCACCCCACCCTAAGCAGAAGTTATAGTGCTATTACCTCTTTTGACCCCTAGGTGGTGCTGAAAAAGAGCTTATCTTCACTAGAGGTATTTGATACTTTACCAGGGTTCAGTAGCAAAAACATTATTAAATTTGGCAGCCCTGACTAAACAAACCAGTTACACTACTATCCTAAAAGCTACATACACGGTCATGTTGCTTTTTTTATTAAATAAAATAAATTGCTATTGCAAAATCTTGATTTATCTGTGCATCCAATATCCTGAGTGCTGCTAACCTTTTGTATAGTTATCTTTTTTTTCATTTCTGCAACATACATACATTATAATGACAAGTTATTTACTCATCACAACTTATTTTCAGGAAGTTAGAATTGTTTCAAATAAAATTACACTTTGTATTTTGCAGTAATGTACTTAATTCTTCTTCATGTTACTAGTCTTTTTTATTTCCAGTTGATGATGGCATTGTTTTGAGATATATTCTAGTAATAATACAAGAGAATATGCTGGTAGTGGGATGAAGTACAAGGTGTCTTCAGTATTCATCCACACTGACAATTATTTTTATTAGGGTAGAATTACTGTACAATTATTTAATTTCAACACATATTCCATCATGTTGCTTTTCTACAGTTTTCTCTGTTCTGGCATATGGATATGGAAGCTGTGGAGTTGTTCCCTCAGATTTTAATCTGAAAGAAAAATGTCAAGTACAGTATATGCCCATAAAAACATGCTGTACTGTTTTCAAAACATGACAAATATAACATTTTTGATACATGCTTTTTAAAAGAAGTATAAAATGTGTAAGGCAGTGTTCTTTAGTAGTCAGAGCACAGCCCTCTGAGCCATGAGCGCTTGAGTCCTATCTGCCATTAGTTCTGCCACTGACCCACTTACCTGCCTCACAGTGGTGTTGTGAGAACTAATAAATTAATATCTGTACAGTGCTTTGAAGATGTAATGCACTACATACCTGCTAAATCCACAATATTAAATAATCTTTACTGGAGAGATCCATACTTTCCTTTAACAGACATGATTTGAAAAACAGGTGGAACAGGAACAAAGTGAGGTTTTTTTTAAAGGCGCAGAAGAGGCTGATGAAAAGCACAATAAATTACATAGTAGAATTATTAAATAGAAGAGCCACAGCCTTTCCCAAAATTATATTGAATATCAGATCCACCTTATGATTTGTGATGTCCCAGCCAGAAGGAAGCATTAGATGATGAATTACCTTCCCATTCCAGTCTCATTGCACAAGGAGAGATATCTGGTAGTGAGTTACACATACACACACACACACACACCCTTCGTAATGTTGCTGGAGGAGGAGATTGGGCTGGCCTGTAACCTGCAAATTCAATTCTGTTTCCTCTCAAACTCTTTGTCTTGTCCATTTAGATTGTAAGATCTTCAGGGTAGGCACAGTCTCTTACAATGTGCCAGGCACAAAGGGAATCAGATCTTGGTTGGAGCCTCTAGGTGCTACTGTAATACAAATTAAGAAAAGAAAAGAAAATAATAATAATTAATACAATACCACAGGCCCTGATAATTTTCCTAAAAATCTCTTCAATTTCTCCAGGTACTGACAATCCTTTTATATTTTGTTTTGATTTGATTTAATTAGCCACTAAATGTTGATGGGAATCAATTACTGTGTTACAACAAGAATCCCTCTAGACATCACACTGTTTTCTGAGATTTTCTCTACAGCTATTAAAAAAATAAGGAAGCATCCCTACCACCATCATCACTACCAAACATCGAAACTTATTTAGTTGGCTTCTTTTAAAAATGTATTTCGCATCCATGATGTGTTATGGACACAGTTAGGGACATGGATCCCTGCTTGGGAAGATCAACATCTCCAGATGTGTGTTGTGTAGTCAAATAATAGCCAGATATTTTAGAAGGACTTGTGGTAATATGATACTTTCCCTTCTTTTGGTACTGGTTTTGCCAATATGGCACCAAATTTCTCAACATAGTACAAAGTAAGGCATTAAAAAAGGATCTGTAATAGTTTTACATATCCAGATATCCATAACTGATGTGCTCTTAATTCGGTAAGAAAAAATTATGCATGCATCAAGACAGTTTGCAGGAAGTTTACAGTTCCCCAAGTCATTTCTGAGGCTTGTGAAATGTCATCAGCTTGTGACATTGGATTGCAACATGAAAGATATTTTACACGTCATCTTGCTTTGCAACGTGCCAACACAGTGTCACAAGGTTATTACCTACAGTGAACACACTCAGGAAAATGAGAAGCCTACCTTGTGTTTAAATGCAAATAGTCTTTGAGTTATTCAAGCACCAAAGGTTCTCAAAGTTCTTAAAGCATGAAGATACATTTTTAATTTTCTCACTCAGATAACTCTGTGAAGAAAGAAAGGAACATCATCAAACCTTCTCTTTCCAAAAATGTACTTTGAGGCTCACAAGAAGCATGAGAAATTTCAATCAAATGGATAGAATTTTGGGTTGGTTGTTTTGTTTCATTTTAATTTTTCTTCTTCTTCAGAAATCAGAATGTTTTAAGCAGGAGAGACTGAAAAGGGTCTACACTAGAAAGGAACTGCCCATGTAGTTATGGGTATAGCTATACTGGCAAAATCTCCTAACCATGATGCAGCTTAAACAGGCAAAAAAGTTATTTTGCCAGTATCACTTACACCAGTAATTGAATGAAATAGTTACACCAGCAAAGGATGTTTTTCCGGAAATAACTGTGTTTATACTAGGGCTTTTGCCAGCATAGCTATGTCAATTAGCAGTGTGATTTCCCCCACACATTCTGACATAACTTGGCGAGCAAAACTTTTAAGTGTAGACCAAGACCTGAGAGGAATTGTGTGGGCAAAGGCCTTTATGGTCTTGTGGGGATGGTGAGTCTGGGGGGTATTGTGGATGTGATGAAGTTGTCTGAGGGAGGCTGTGTGGAGAAAGAGAGATGGGTTTTGAAGTTGAGACTGTGGGAGTTGGTGAGGGCAATAAGCCCAATGGAGGATGCGGAGGTACTGAGTTAAGGGAGGTTGTGGGGACAAAGGGTGAAATCCTGGCCCAATTGAAGTTAATGGCAAAACTGACATTGTCTTCAATGACATGTGGTCAGGATTTCACACAAATGAGCCTAAGGGAGTTTGTGGGGAGAAGTGATTGCCTGAGAGCAGGGCCGGTGTAATCACTAGGCAAACTAGGCGGCCACCTGGGGCGCCAAGATTTGGGGGCACCAAAAAGCGGTGCCCAACAATTTTTTTTACACTATTGCTTAGGGGCAGGTACCTGTCAGTCTCCAGCACTCGGGCTGCGCCAGCAGCCTCTTCACCTCGGAGTCTCCCCCGCTTGCCCGGGGGCCACTCATCCTCTCAGGCTCCCCGGCCGCTGCTACCGCGGCCGCCCAGGAGGACGCGGGCGGGGGACGCCGTCGCAGAGGAGACTGGGGATGAGTTGTTGGGACAGGGAGCTGGCCTGAGAGAAGGGTGGAAGTGGCAGGGCTGAAGCTGGGTTGTGGGGTCAGGAAAACTCCCTGGAGGTGGGTTTGGGGGGCAGTGAGACTGAGGGGCTTGTGAGGCTAGTGACGCAGAAGCGGGTTGGGTCAGCACTGAAACTCTGTGAGGGACAGTTCTGGGGGTGGTGAGACCGTGTAAGGTATGTTGTGGGGATGGTGAGATGTGGGGGGAATAGAGATGGGGAGGTGATGAGATGATGGGGCCGTGACTCTGCGGGGCAGAAGTGGTTGGGGTAGCAGTGAGAGAGGGGAGAGTTGGGGTGGGGACACTGAAGGGGGAAGCTGGTGAACCTTGCAGGGCTGGGGAAGCAGGGGGCCTGAGGGAGAGCTGTGGAGGGGTGGTGGGACGGGTTAGTTAGAGACAGGTGACAATGGGGAAGTGAAATCGGGGGGCGAGTGAGACCAATAGGGGGCTGGAGACAGGCAGGGCGAGGGAGGGATGCTGCTTTTCCTGCGGGCTGCCCCGGGCGGTGATGCGGGTTTACACGAGAGCGCTGGTGCGCAGGGAAGAGGGAGGCTGAGGCTCCCGGGTGACGTGCGCGTGCAGTTCTCTCGGTCGCCGCCAGGGGAGGCGGTTTCGTTGCGCGGTGCGAAGGCCGCCGGGTGGGAGGGGGCAGGCCGCGGTGGCCCGCCCCGGCTCTCTCCGGCCCGGCATGCAGCGCGCCGCAGTTTGAATGGCGCAGGCTCTGCGGAGTGGGCCCCGGCGCTAGGACTGTCCCGGATCAGCGCCGCCTCCTCGGCTCGGTGTGGCCCGGGCAGCGCGGGACCATGAGCAGGTGAGTGGGCAGCCGGGTTCTCGGGACTGCTCCTGGTCACGGCCCTTCCTGCCTTGCGGCTGAGCCCGGGACCGCTCCCTCTGCCGGCAGCGCGGCCGCTCTGCTCCGCAGCGGGGAGTCCCGGCCCGCAGCTCAGTCGGGGTCCCTGGCAGGGATCGGCCTGGGGCGGGGGTTTTCCGTCCTGTGTTAGGCCCCGGCTGGTGCCAGGTGAGATCCATGGAGGGAGGGGCTGACAGGGACTGTCTCTTCCGGGACAGGTGTTGCTGCTGGCGGGGGGAGGAGTGCGCTCCTCTCTTGTGACAATTCTCGCAGCTCGGCCTTTCCCAGGGCGTGGGCTGCCCCCTGGCAGCAGCCCTGCGCCTCTCGTCTCCTACCCGCCCGGTGGGCGACCTGGCCACCTTCCTGTCCTCGCCCGTGCTGTGCCTTTCATGCGCATTGGCTGCCCCTTGGAAGGAGACGTTACCCGTGCCATTAAGTACATGATCAGCCCCTTCATTTTACCTGGGAGAATGTCTTCAAATAGTTTCACTCCCAATTAAGCAAGATCGGGCAGATCTGCGTTTCCTAACAGGATGATGATACACGCTCCAATTTAAAAAGAGACACGAGAGATACCAGGACCGCTGAAAAGTATATCCTGAGGTTTGCTGGTATTTACTTTGTTCAGTGGGTGGAAATGATCTTTTATTCCTGGGAAAAAGAAGGAAACTCTTTAGATATCTACAGACTATTTGTGGCGGAACTGTGCATTGCTTTGCTAAAGGGAGTTTTGGGTTTTTGAGGAAAATACATGACTGTTGTGCTGGAGTCATTCAGTATATTTAGGTTTAATTACTGCTGTCCGAACAAGCTTAGATAAAATACAAAAAAATGATTCACTTGGTAATATCTATTAACATTTTTAGAACTTCTGAAAAAAATATTTTCCAAAAATAACTTTTTTTCACTGTAATTTATGCTACTCTTTTTAGGACTGGCTTAAATCTATATGCATTTAAAAATAGTTATATTCTTGGTTATAGATGAATTTCCCTTTTTCCCACTCCTTCCCTCTTTCCATTCCTCCTAAACTTCCTGTCTTAAACAGAGAAAATGATAGCTATGCTGGGTGTTCTGTAGAAAATTAAACGTGATTTCAAAGGGAATTTGTAATTTGTTAGTCGTCTTTGTTAGAAGGAATAAATAAAAGCCAGTATCAAAACTATTCCATTCAAGATAGTTCTATCCTAGGTCTAAAAAACATTGATATATAGTCTTAAATGTTATGGATAGGTCTGTTGTACAAAGAATTTTATTGAATTAGTAAAATGAGCATTAGTTTGAATTCTTAAACTTGTATTTGAGAATTGTAGTTATAATAATCATGCTTGCAGGAGGGCCAGACATGGTGTATCTCTGTGTATTTTTTTACCCAGTTGTCTTGTCTGTGTTACAGCTGAAATCAGACCAGCACAAACCCTGTTGTAACAGAGACAAGCTATCAACATGGCATTTAATTAGTTTAAAAATAATGTGTTAAAAGTCTCTGTCTACCAATTTGCTAGTAATGCACTGAATGGTACCTTGCAGCCACCAAGACCTTGTCTTAGTTTAAAATCGTGTTTGTAGGGGCTTAGCATTTTATAGGCTAAGCATTCTAAAATTTTAGCTTAAAATATAAAGATCTATTCGGATCTAAACCCTAACTTCCAAACTTGGTCAGAGAGACTGCAGAGTCTATGTAGAAGAGATGAGTGAACTAGAATCCCTGCCAGTAGACAAGGATATTGATATAATAGGCATCACAGAAATGTGGTGGACTGAGGCTAATCAATGGGACACAGTAATAACAGGATATAAAATATATAGGAATAACAGAGTAAGCAGTCCTTGTAGGGGAGTGGCATTATGTTTAAAAGAAAGCATAGAGTCAAATAAGGTAAATGAAACAAATTGGATAGAAATTCTATGTTAAAGAGTATAGCAATAGGAATGTACTACCAACCCCCTGACCAGGATGACAGTGATTGTGAAATGGTCAGGGAGGTGAGGGTACAAATGTAGACAGGGCAATAATAACTAAATGTCACCTCAGGGCATGATGCAGAGAGAACTTCTAGACCCCATAAATGACTGGTTCTTGGAGCAGCTACTCCTGGAACCCATAAAAGGAGAGGCAGTTCTTGATTTAGTCCGAAGTGAAGCATAGGATCTGGTCCAGGAAGTAACTATAGCTGAACTGCTTGGTGGTAATAACAATAATGTAATTAAATTTAACATCCTTGTAAGAGGGATAATACCAAAAAAACACACTATGGTAACATTTAACATCAAAAAGGGGCATTACACAAAAATGAGGATGCTTGTTAGATGGAAATTAAAAGGAGCTGTCATAAGGGTTAAATGTGTGCAAAAACACCATAATTGAGGTTCACTCTAAATGTATGCCAGTAAAGACAAGAGGACCAAAAGAAGGCCACTGTGGCTAAACAGCAGAGTAACAGAGGACGTTAGAAGCAAAAAAGCATCTTTTTAAAATTTGGAAGTCAAATTCTACTAGGAATAATAGGAAGGAAAACAAAGGCTATGTCTACACTAGCAACTGAACAACAAAACTTTTTTGTCTTTCAGAGGTGTTTTAAAAAAAAAAAACCACACCGCCAAAAGACAGAGGTTTTGCTGACGACAAACACCAGTGTGAACAGCTCTTTGTCAGCAGGAGCGCTCTCCTGCCGACAACGCTAACGCCGCTCGTTGGGGGTGGAAGTTTTTTGGTGACAGGAGAGCTGACAAACAGCGGCTACACTGAGCACCTTTTAGCGACACGGCTGTAGCGACACAGCCCTGTCGCTAAAAGCTGCGTAGTATAGACATAGCCACACTGTGGCAGGTAAAGTGTAAAAGTATACTAAGGTCAGCCAGAAAGAATTTGAGCAGCAACTTGTTAAAGAAGCAAAAAGTAATGGTAAAAAAATTTTTAAGTACATCAGAAACAGGAAGCATGCCAAACAGACAGTGGGGCCATTACATGACCAAGGTGTTAAATGAGCACTCAAGGGAAAATAAGGTAATAAAAGACCAATGTTTAGCTTCTCTGCACTGCAGAGGATGTGGTGTAGATACCCACATCAGAGCTATTCTTGGGCAACAAATCTGAAGTACTCTCCCACATTGATGTGTCAATAGAAGAGGTTTCAGAAAAAATTGATAAAAAGTAATGTCACCAGGACTAGAGGGTATTCTCCCAAGAGTTCTGAAGGAACTCAAATATGAAATTACTTTACATACCAGTTAGTAGTTCTGCATCTCTGAAAGAAGCCTCAGTAGTAGATGGCTGGATGGTAGCTAATATAATGCTGATTTACCTTTTTAAGGGCTTCAGAGGCAATCCTGGCAACTGTAGCTGGTGAACCTAACTTCTGTATTGGGCAAATTGGTAGAATCTATAGTAAAGCACAATTATTGAACTCACAGATGAATATGGTATGTTGGGGAAGATTCAACATGGCTTTTGTAAAGGGAGGCCATGCCTCACCAATCTTTAAAAATTTTTGAGCGTGTCAGCAAACATGAATAAGGGTGATTCAATTGATATAGTGCAGGGGTCAGCAACGTTTGGCATGCGGCTCTCCAGGGTAAGCACCCTGGTGGGCCGGGCCAGTTTATTTACCTGCTGACGCAGCAGGTTCGGCCGATTGCGGCCCCCACTCACCGTGGTTTGCCGTCCCGCGCCAATGGGGCGTCGAGAAGCGGCGCGGGCGAGGGATGTGCTGGCCGCAGCTTCCCGCCGCCCCCATTTGCCCGGGACAGCAAACCGCGGCCAGTGGGGGCTGCGATTGGCCGAACCTGCCGTGTCAGCGGGTAAATAAACTGGCCCAGCTTGCCAGGGTGCTTACCCTGGCGAGCCGCGTGCCAAACGTTGCCGACCCCGATATAGTGTATTTGGATTTTCTAAAAGCCTTTGACAAGGCTCCTCACCAAAACCTCTTAAGGAAACTAAGTTTCTTAAGGAAACCTGGGATAACAGGGAAGGGCCTCTTGTGGATCAGTAACTGGTTTAAAATATAGGAAACAAAGGGTAGGAATAAATGGTCCATTTCCACAATGGAGAGAGGTAGATAGTAGGGTCCCTCAAGATTCTGTACTGGGACCTGTGCTGTTCAACATACTTCCTTTTTCAGATCATTAATGAGTGAACAGTGAAGTGGCAAAGTTTGCAGATGACACAAAATTATTCAAGATAGTTAAATCCAAAGTGGGTGAAATTTAAAGCTCATTTAATATTTTTGAGGTTAACAAGCAGAGATCTGTTATTTTAAATGGGTTAATTTAAATGTATGTAAATCTTTGTGTAGACAAAGCAGTTTGTATTTTCACATATGAGCTGATAGTAATCCAAGACTTGAATACAACATGTTGGAGACAAGGCCCATAAGAGTCTTCAGAGAGCCCAGAACAATAGCTTTGAGAGATGGAATCTCCCATTCATCTCAGTGAGGTATTAACTCTGATGCCTACTGGTGATTTTAAATGTTGGTATTAATTATTTCATTATATAAGAAAGGGGAGAGAGAGGATCACAGATCTGTGCAGTTTACTGTGAGTTGATCTTATTTTGGTGCCATGTGTGGGTTGCATATTGGAGAATAGTACCACTTATTTTTTCCTAATCAAGAAAGACCCCAAGAAGCCACAGATATACTCAATCCCCACCATGGAGGAGCTAAGATAAAGGAGCCCGCTAATGCTCATAACATGTACAGTCACAATCTACTGAGAGTAATTTTTCATTTTGTTTAGTCATAGGGATGGAACTTGTAGAGTACTACCTACCCCCCGTTTGACACCAGCCCTTTGAAAACTTGAAGCTGAAACAGCTTCCTTTTAAACTTTTATTCCCATCTTTCTGCACACACTGACTTGTTAGTCACAAACACTGCTCACAAACACTGTCGGATTTAGATTGGGCTCCGCTGAAGAAGGATCAAACAGAGAATGATCTTGTTTTTCCTGCACAAAAG